TTCATCTCTATCTATAATTATTATTCTTCTTAAATTACTATAAAATAATTATAATTAATAAGATATAAAAGATAGTAAAATATATATATAGTATCGTATAGATATTAAGAATAAAGATTTTAATAGAGAAATAAGTAGAAATAGAGAAAGTTCTCTTAAAATTAGAGGTGGCTATACTATATATAATATCTTTCTATATTATAAAGAGAATTATATAAAACGATTTTATAGTAGAGAAACTATAGTAAAGTCTAAAGAGTAGATATAGCGCTTTTTTAATATATTATAATAGGATAATAAAGAATTATAGTATATTATAGTAGAAAAAATTGAATTTATTATAGTTAAGCGATTATCGAATAGATAAAAAGTAGAACTTAAATAAGCTTTAATAAGATTAACGCTTATATCTTAGAAATAATTTATAAATTCTTAAAAATATCTAATCGTATTATTATTAGCTATTATCTAAGCTCTCTATTATATTCTTATAGCTTCTCGACCTTAATAATAACTTACTTTAAGCGTTATTAAATCTTATTTTATTAATTTACTATCTTATTCTTTTTAGCCTTAAGATCGATATACTACTTAGTTATATTTCGAAACTAATTTTACTAATAGCGAAGATCGCGAAGTATAGTAAGAAATTAATTAGACTTTTTATTAGCTTAATAGCGTAGTTAGTCGATATTAACGATTTATTAAAAGTCTATAATAGTCTTATTATTCTTTACTATATCGTTAGATAATAAGAATTATTAATAATTAAATATCTAAGTAAGAAGATTTAGAAGATTACTAACTCGATTTATCTTACTTAATTATATATTCGAAATTTATAATAATTTTAAAATAAAAAGAAGAGAGTTACTTTATTTCTTTTAAGTTTTTAATATTATAAATATTAAGTAAAGAAGAGAAAAGAAAAATTTCTTATAATATCTTTTATAAGACTTTACTATAAATTCGAAAAATAGTATTATATTTTACGAGAACTTTTTTCTTAATTTATAGATTATTTAGATTATTATAAAAACTATAAATAGTCTAAATATTATTCTTTTAAATACTTTTACTTCGCTTAAGAAGTTAATTATATAGTTATTAAGTAAAATAGTAATTTCTTTAAATTTACTAGTTATATAAATAAACTAGTCTAGTAATTACTTTATTTCTCTAACTAATTATAAGACTATTACGCTATCTCGATAGATACTTTTTATAATATATTATCTATATAATAACTTAACTTAATATCTTACTAAAGTCTCTATTAATAGATTTCTTAAATTTATCTATTAATTCGAATATAGTAAGTAAGATAATCTAGTTATAGTATTAGAATTAATATAAATATAATATAAATATTAATATTAATATATTAAATAAGATAACTAGATATCGAATAATTATATAAATAGAAGATATTAAATAATAATAGCTATCTCTATTAAGATTTATTAGACTCTAATAGACTATAGAGCTAAATAGTATATTAAGAAAGATATAGAGTACGATCGTAATAAATTTAATTAAAGAGCGTAATAACTTTAAATTTATAATTAACTATACATATAAATTTAAGATTTTCTAATTTAGCTTTATCTTATTCTTTTATATATACTAATATTAGTATATATAATAGAATAAGATAGGGCTAAACTTGAAAACCTTGAATTTATATGTGCAGTCAATTGTAAATTTAGGGTTATTACGCCTTTTAGCTAGACTGACTAAGTTAGCCCGCTAGCCCTTTCGAGCTCCCTTATCAAAAATCTGTATATAGAAGTTTTACACTCTAAAATAACCAGCTTCCTACGGATGCTATTTCTTTATAATTTCATAAATTATAGAGCTTAATATGCGCTTTCTAACGCTATAAAAATAATGAAGTTTAGCCTACTATTAATAGATTAAATGAACATTCAAATATGATAGTTATAGTAGTCACACCAAACGCGTCCGAAATCGGATAATAATCCTTTCACCTATTTATTTATTTATGTAATCATTATTCTTTTATCACTCTACTAATTCTACTAATTCCATTAATATAAACACAATCGTTCTCGGTACCCCTCGCGGAAACGTTACTAAACGCTTTAGGCACATATACCCCTTTTACCCGCCTCTTAGAGTCTCTACTAACGCCTCTAGATCATCTCTTAACGAATCCATTACTATTAGTCAACTATCTACTACTACTTATAAACGCATTAAAAGACCCTTAAAAAGAGTCTAAACGAATACGTCCTCTTCTATATACTTCTCCTAAGTCAGCGATAAATAAGTTAAACTAATATTCAAATATTATAATTATATTAAACGCGTCCGAGATCGAATAATAATTCTTTCACCTATTTATATAATTATTCTTCTTTAATTATTCTACTAATTCTATCAATTCTATTAATTCTATTAATTCTATCAATTCCATTAATATAAACACATTTACCCTCGGTACCCTCGCACTCAATTAAATAAGAGGAGGATCTATAACAGGCGAATGCGGAGAACACTGCGGAGAACATTGCGGAGACAGTCATCAGCAGCAGTAATACAACAGGCCTACTCTTCACGGTTTTATACCAATTCACTTAGCTAATATAAGAGAAGTTAATATAGCAGACAAATGCGGAGAATACTACGGAGAAATTAAGCGATAATAAGGCCACCATCGTTAAGAACACGGCTCAGCTCTCCAAGATCTCACGTTATATTAGTTATTCACTCAATTAGTTACTTAGCTAGCTATTTAGTCTAATACTCTATAAGAGAAGGAGTAAGAGAAGGAACTACAACAGGCAAATGCGGAGAACACTGCGGAGAAACCAAGCGGTAACAAGGCCCCCAGCATCAAGAACACGGCTCAGCTCTCCAAGATCCCACGTTATATGCTCTCCACGGTTCCACATCAAATCATCACTCAATAAGCGGAGAACACCACTGCAATTTAGCCTGTCATCCCCACTACATTAAGAAGTAAGAGGAGGAACTACAACAGGCAAATGCGGAGAACACTGCGGAGAACACTATGGAGAACACTGCGGAGAAACCAAGCGGCAACAAGGCCCCCAGCACCAAGAACACGGCTCAGCTCTCCAAGATCCCACGTTATATACTCTCCACGGTTTTATATCAAATCATCACTCAGTAAGCGGAGAACACCACTGCAATTTAGTCTATTATCCCCACTGTATTAAGGAGTAAGAGGAGGAACTATAACAGGCAAATGCGGAGAACACTGCGAAGAATACTATGAAGAACACTGCGGAGAAATTAAGCGATAATAAGGCCACCATCATTAGAAACACGGCTCAGCTCTCTAAGATCCCACGTTATATGCTCTCTACGGTTCTATATTAAATTATTACTTAGTAAGTGAAGAATACTACTGTAACTTAGCCTATTATCTCTATTATATTAATATGATATATTACTATAATAACGTTATAAGAGGAATATCTATTATTACAATCAATTGGGCCTCTATAGAAGAAATATCGAACGATATATATTTAGACGAATTAAAACTATTCGATATCTATAGCTATTTCATTATTCGAAAGATTTCACTGCGGTAGAAGATATTATAGGATTTACATCACTAATTAGCACGTTATCTCTATTTCTTTCCGATATTTCGATACTTCTTACCATAAGAATATAGCCTTTCTCTATTTTTTATAGATAATTATTATAGATTAATTCTTTATACTCGATATACCTTTCTAATTAGGCCTTAGCGCGCCTCTCTCCGCACATATATATTTGTATATAGGTTAAAAACGCATAGCAAGCGATTAGAGTTCGATTTGACTTAGGGCTAGAGCGAAAATTCGATTTGACTTAGAAAAATCCAACTTCATAAATTTAATTCATAGGCCTTTACTTGTACTAATATACTAATTTCTCTTTTTTCTATTATATTTTTTTAATTTTCTTTTTAAACTATAAATCTTAATTTACGATTCTAAATAAAAAAAGAATTATTAAATTTAATCTTAGAAGTCTTTAAAGATAAGAAACTTTAATATTAGTATATATAATAGAATAAGATAGAATTAAGCTTAAAAATTTTAAATTTATATATATAGCTAATTATAAATTCGAGTTCTCTACGCTTTTTAATTAGATCGACTAAGTTATCGTAAATAAATAAATTAATATTTATAATTATTAAAAGATAATTAAATAATTTTAATAAAAAAATAAATATATATTATTTAAATTTAAAATAAATCTTTTATTTTCTATTAAAATTTTAAAATTATTTATTTCAATTATAGAACGAAATATAAGCTTTTAGATAAAAAAAGAATTTTTAAATTTAGTCTTATAATTATTAAAGCGTAAGAAATTTAAATATCGCTTATTAAATATCGCTTATTAAAGTTCGCTCGATAGTCGAATAGCTCTAATTAAAAAATAGATATATATTATTTAATTTTAGAATAACTTTTTTATTTTCTATTAAAATTTTAAGATTTTTTTTTAAATTATAGAATAAAATATAAGCTTTTAGATAAAGAAAGAACTCTTAGATTTAGTTTTATAATTATTAAAGCGTAAGAAATTTAAATATTACTTACTAAAGTTCGCTTATTAAAGATCGCTTATCTATTTACTCGATAGTTCTAATTAAAAAAAAAAATTATAAATTTAATTCATAAACCTTTACTTCTCGCTTATTAAAAACTTATTTACTTTATTTAAAATACTTTTTAATATAAGCTTAAATACTCGAATACGAGAATTAAATCCTAAACTACTAAACTACTAAACTGCCTCTATGTTTTCAAGTGAATTAATCTAGAGAATAGATTTAGATGGGTCGGAGTTGGGAATTCGTAGACTGTAAAGAATCTCGGATGTCTGCTCGGAAACTGCGATACACGAGACTCTTGTAATTCTAAACATATATCTACGTATCTCTCGCTATCGCTACGAGATTATATTGATCATCTCATTAACGATTATCAACCTTCTGAAGTTATCTATTCCACTCTCTTCCTCGGACTACTCTCCCGCTTCGTCGGCGGAACTCGCCCTTTCCTGGGACTCTCCTGCCGCTTCTGCGGTGAAGCCCGGCCATTAAGGATAGAAACCTGTGCAGTCTCCTTGGCCTTGATTTTCGCCATAGTCTCTACGCGCTTCGCCGCATTCGTAAGGATACCCCAGTCTAGAATATTATGTACATCATGGCGGAACTTGGCTACCTCGGTCATGCGACCAATCATGACATATCGGCCCAGGAGATGCATGTGGAAGACGCCCGGTGAGGCCGTGTTTTCCAGCTCGTACCAATGGACCCAGAGCTCGGCGATGTTGATGTCCCATGTGCACGAGAAACAGAAGGAGTCGTAATCCGGACCTAGAGGGTCTTGAACGCCTGTATCGTGCGCGAGCTTGTTGAACGCTCGGCGTCCGTTCACGAGCGCCGAGCCGTCGCGTAGGGCTTGGTTGCGGGCGACGGTAATGGGTTGTTGGTTACCTTTGCCTTCGATAACGAAGAAAGCGTGCCAGAGGCCGAAGCCCAACTCGAGCAGATCGCGCACTTCTGGCGAAGGCGCCTGACCCGCTGCAAACTTGGTGGTCATAGTTATGCCGAACACCCAGTCAGGTTTGGGGTCTGTGAGGCCGATGTCGACATTGGCGGTGTCGGTGAGCTGGCCTGGGAGGAAGCCCCTGGCCATTTTCTGGTCTTTCTGTGGCTCGCTCATGCCATCTTCTTTGAAGCGTTTCCAATTCCAGTGAGTGGTGCCGTTGGCGGTTTTTCTGCCGCTGTCGACGGATCGCCCGGTCTTAATCACTTGCTCCACCAGACAGTGGAAGTATGTAGCCTCGTTCGACAATTCATTCTCTTCCATCTCTTCCTGGATCACCTTGTAGGATTCTGGTCGTAGACTCGAGCCACGCTGCGAATCGATGGTTGCCATGATCGAGTTTTTAAAAGCCGGGTAGCTCTCTAGCCGCCCGGTTGTATTGTACCACATGCCATTTGCTTCGAGAGATGTTCGGATCGAGCGAGCATTCTTGGTCTGTTTCCGGGATTCGGTGGAGACGATTGTGCTGGCTAAGGTGGCTGTAGTTGCTGCTTCGAGGCCGTCGAGCTCGACTTGTGAGGATTGGGCTTGGCGGTCGTAGGGGGATTGAGGCTTGTAGGGAGTAGAGGGAGGAGGCATCGATTTGACGGGAGTGGAGGATCTCAGCTCAGCGACCTATCATACATCAGTCGCCATTATCCTGACGGAGGTTGCTCACCAACCTTTTGCTTGCTCTTGCTCATGTTGGCGGTGATGGAGCGAAGAGCCTGACGAGTGAGGCGTTGTGTCAACCGTGGCTTTTTATGGCTTACGGGTGATGAAGGATCCTGTAATGCCTTGCGCTTCACGCTCTGAAGCTTGCCAGCAGCTGGAAGAGTCGGGGATTGGGGTGATGGAGGCGCGGAAGACGGGCAAGGTGGTGAGGTGTTGGGAAGTCGGGACAACCAGCTAGCTATCCTCAGCTGGTCTCCAATCGACATTTTGACGCATGCCTAGGTGTGATTGAAATGGCTCGAAGGGATAACAACAGTGATGGTGATGGTGATGGCAGCGAGAAAGAAGGTGGAAGAGGAATAGTCTCAGTACTCTGACTCTATTCGGAAGGGTTGGTAGTGGTAGGTCGGAAACCCCTTTTTTCCGGGCCGAAATTTCGTAATGCCCTTCCCCTAGAGTCTGAGTAGGAAACCCTAAAATCGCTATATTAACCGTTATTTTATATAGAATTCTTATTAAAACTAATTAAAATAGAAAATAAATAATTTTCTATATATATAACTTTTTATTACGTACTTTAATAATAAAAAAATCTATAAAATAAATATTTTAATATTATAGAATTAGATTTTTTTTTCGATTTTTAATAAAATACATTAATTAGTTATTTCTAGAAGATTTAAATTAGAGTTTTAAAAATTATACTTTTAATCTCTATCTTATTCTTTAATACGAGTAAAGGTTTATAAATTAAATTCATTTTTTTTTTTTTTAATTAGAGCTATCGAGTAAGTAGATAAGCGATCTTTAGTAAGCGAACTTTGATAAGCGATATTTGAATTCCTTGCACTTTAATAATTATAGGACTGAATTTAATAATTCTTTTTTTTATTTAAAAGCTCGAATTTCATTCTATAATTTAAAAAAAAAGTCTTAAAATTTTAATAGAAAATAAAAAAGTTATTCTAAAATTAAATAATGTGTATCTAATTAGAGCTATTCGACTATCGAGCGAACTTTAATAAGTAATATTTAAATTTCTTACGCTTTAATAATTATAAGACTAAATTTCAAAATTCTTAAAAATTCGAAAAGCATAAATAGCGCTTTAAAATTTAGAAAAGGAATATTAGAATTTTAATAGAAAATAGAAAAGTTATTCTATGTGTTAATAATATATATCTATTTTTTCTTAATAAGAGAGGCGCGGAAGGGCGAGATTTTAATAATTATAGACGCTAATTTATTTACCCGCGATATCTAACTAAAAAGCGTAGATCTATTAAATTAATAATTAGCTATATATATAAATTCAAGATTTTCTAACTTAGTTCTATCTTATTCTTTTATATATATTAATTTATTAAGATAATCTTAAAAATAATTTTAAATATTTCTTATATTTATAGATTTATTTAATTATATTATTATAGAATAAGCTAAACTAAGTTTTTAAAAAAAAATTATTAAATTATATTTATTAAAATTTTACTTAAAATTTATTTATTTAAATAATTATTTTAATTATTTTATTAATTTATAAATAATTTATAGATATAAGTAAATAAATATTTAAGTTTTATTAATATTATTGTTTAATTTATATAATTATTATACTATTTTAAAAAAATTTAAAAAAAAATTAGAAAGCTTAATAACTTTAAAAACTTCGAACATTAAATTTAGAAAGTTTAATATATTATTATTATATATATTAAGAATATATTTATAATTTTTTATAAAAAGTAATAATTCGATTATCGAGTAATAGTATATCGAAGTTATAAATTATTAAGTTTCTTTAAAATAGTTTTAAGATAGTTTTAAAATAACTCTCTTCGAATTAAAGCTATCTCGAAATTTAAGATATTTTAAATTTAAAAATTAAAAAGCTTAATAACTTTAGAAATTTCGAACTTTAACTTTAGAAAATTTAATATATTAATATTATATATATTAAGAATATTTAAATAAATTTTTATAAAAAGTAATAATTTAATTATTAAGTAATAATATATTAAAGTAAAATAGTTTCGAGATAACTTCGAGATAACTCGCTTCGAGTTAAAGCTACTTCGAAATCTATTAATACTAATATATATTTAGAGGTAAATATCTTATATTAATTAAATTATTAAAAAAATAAGTAAAGGCCTATAAATTAAATTTATAAAGTTAAATTTTTCTAAGTTAAATCGAATTTTAGCTCTAGCTTAAATTAAATCGAATTCTAATCGCTTACTATACGTTTTTAATCTACTTTTATTACTATAAAATTAATTTAATCTATATAGTATATAGATATATATATATAAAGAGAGGCGCGCTAAGACTTAATTAGAAAGGTATATCGAGTATAAAGAATTAATTTATAATAATTATCTATAAAAAATAGAGAAAGACTATATTCTTATAATAAGAAGTATTAAAATATTAAAAAGAAATAGAGATAACGTGTTAAGTAGTGATATAAATTCTATAATATCTTCTATCGTAGTAAAATTTTCTAAATAATAAAATAGTTATAGATATCGAACGATTTTAATTTATTTAAATATATATCGTTTAATATTTCTTCTATAGAGACTTAATTAACTATAATCGTTATAGTAGATTCTTCTCTTATAACGTTATTATAGTAATATATTATATTAATATAATAGAAATAATAAATTAAGTTATAATAGTATTCTTCGCTTATTAAATAATAATTTAATATAAAATTATAAAGAGTATATAACGTGGGATCTTGAAGAGCTAAGTCGTATTCTTAATAATAGTAATCTTATTACCGCTTAATTTCTCCGTAGTATTCTTTATAGTATTCTCCGCAGTATTCTCCGTATTTATCTATTATAGTTTCTTCTCTTACGATATTTTTTTATTAAGATCTAATTAACTATAATTATTATAATAGATTCTTCTCTTATAACGTTATTATAGTAATATATTATATTAATATAATAGAGATAATAAATTAAGTTATAGTAGTATTCTTCGCTTATTAAATAATAATTTAACGTAGAATCTTAGAGAGCTAAGTCGTATTCTTAATAATAGTAGCTTTATTATCGCTTAGTTTCTTCGTAATATTCTTCGTAATATTCTTTATAGTATTCTCCGTATTATCTATTATAATTTCTTTTTTTACTTTTTCTCTTATAGAGTATTAGATTAAGTAATTAATTAAATAACTAATTAAGTAAATAATTAAATAATTAGCTAATAACGCTTATTAAGTAATAATTTAATATAAAATTATAGAGAGTATATAACGTGAAATTTTAGAGAGCTAAGTCGTATTCTTAACGATAATAATCTTATTATCGCTTAATTTCTTCGTAATATTCTTCGTAATATTCTCCGTAGTATTCTTCATATTAGTCTATTATAGTTTCTTCTTCTACTTCTTCTCTTATAAAGTATTAGACTAAGTAGCTAGTTAAGTTATTAATTAAGTAAATAATTAAGTAATTAATTAATAACGCTTACTAAATAATAATTTAATATAGAATTATAAAGAGTATATAATATGAAATCTTAGAGAGTTAAGTTATATTCTTAACGATAATAATCTTATTATCGCTTAATTTCTTCGTAGTATTCTCCGTATTTACCTATTATAATATCTTCTCTTACTTCTTCTCTTAATTAGTAAATTAATAGAATATAGAAGAAATATAATTATATAAATAGATGAAAGAATTATTAATCGATCTCGAACGCGTTTAATATAACTACGATATTTAAATATCTATTTAATTCATTAATAGTAGTATAAACTTCGTTATTTTTATAGCGTTAGAAAGCGTATACTAAGCTCTATAATTTACGAAATTATAAAGAAATAGCATTTATAAAGAGCTAGTTATTTTAGAGTATAAGACTTCTATATATAAATTTTTAATAAGAAAGCTTAAGAGGGCTAGCGAGCTAACTTAGTTAGTCTAGTCAAAAGGCGTAATAATCTCAAATTTATAATTAACTATATATACAAATTCAAGGTTTTCTAGTTTAACTTTATCTTATTCTTTTATATATACTAATAAGACTTAATAAAGTTTTCTACTTAGACTTATTACGTAAGATCTTTCTAAGACTAGAAGAGAAAGAGAGAGAGAGATGTCTTAGTCTCGCTAAGTCTCTTTTAATACTTCTATAAGTAAAAGTAAGTTTCGAAATTCTTTTATTATTAACTTAATCTTTAATATTCTCGTTATCTTTCTTAATAAAACTATTACTTATTTTAATAGCTCGTCTAGCTATCGTCGTTTAGCTACGAAGTTAGTAGACTAATTCGAAGGAACTTAATAATCTTAATACGTCTAAGAGACTAAGATAAGAACGTTGGCGAAGGGCTATAAGTTACGCTAATCGTATCTTAATTAAATTAATAAGATTTATCGTCTTTTAGCGATAGCTTTATAATATAATTATAATTTCGAAAAGAATTAAATACGTTATATATCTATTACGATACGCTAAGATTATTTAATAAGATAATACTAGTATAATCTAATATCGTATATATTTATTCTATAGATATATAGAATAATTAATATCTTTTATATCATATATGAATTTATAATCTAGTTATTTATTTTCTTAATAATTAATATTAATATCTAACTTAGATTCTCTTTTAAGTCGTCTATATCGTTACTCGACTAGTAGTTATAATATATTAATAGTTAATTTCTTCGCGCTTTTACTACGTAGCTAGATTTAGTTTATATAAAATTAGCTAATTAAGTTAATTCTTTTAATAGATTATTTAATATTATATTATATCTTTTAATAATTAAATAATTCTCGATCTCTTATAAGCTACGATTAATAATATAATAACTATATTTAGTAATATAATATTTTAAGAAATATAGAGATTTAAATAGAGATTTAAGTAGAGATTAGAGAGAATCGAATAGTTTTTAAACTTCGCATTATATTAAAATCCTACTTTATCTTCTAATTCTACTTCGTCTCTTAATTCTACTCTTCTTAGTATCAAAATATTAAAATAGAATCT